ACAGAAGTGCACACTTCTTTTTACGATCCATGTCACGATCTAGTCTTTAATTTAAAATACGTTTAGTACAGTTGACGGTTGTTGAAAGTAATTCCTTCCTGACAAGGCGTTTCCCAGGGCTACCATTCCTTGAAGGAATTCACATCGCAGCAATTCGCATCGTAATTTTCTGCGTTGCGAATTCGCATCTCATCGCATCAAAGTTTTGTGTACGAGTTCCCAAACAAAAAATATTTTGATTTGAAATGGTCAGTATTTACTGCAGAAAGGCAAGTTCATAGGTAAGACCTAATATGCTTGTTTAAAGGTATGAAATTCAGTACCTACTTATACTTATTTACAGACGATCGTGCTGAGGCAATGCAGCGTGACCAGGAGGCTGCGCGGGGCCGGGCCGCACCAGGCGGGCGCGGCCTGGGCGGGGGAACACTAGGCGCGGGCGCGCGGTGCGGCGTACTACTTGCGATTGCGATAGTACTGCTACTGCACTGAGGGAGGAAGTCTATTGCATTCTGTATATATTGAATCTTGTAAATAATGTAAATATATTTATAATATAGGTACTCAGTGAACAAGTAAAACAATCGTTTACATACTTACCATCTACTTCGAGATAAGAGACCTCATGCTAAGCCGCACTTGTCACCAAATATTTGTAATACGTGCAATGATATAGTTGATTGTTTTATAAAATGCCAGGCCAATGCCCTGCCCCTGGCAAACCAGGCAGGGTCTGTTCAGGCGCTGTTCAGCTGAACAGCTCACGATCACAAATTTGGCACGATCATATTTGGCAAGTAGGCACACGCAAAAACAAATATTATAAAAAATAAAAATAAAATTACAAGAGACTTATCATAACACAAAATATTAAAGTGTCAAACACCGCGAGGGCACCGGTGACCGCAACCTATTTTCTTCTTTCTTTAATTCTTCTTCTAATTGTGTCTATAATGACGGTACTTAAAGGGTCAATAAAAAACTTAAAAGAGTAAAGAAAATAATAATAAACAACAAAGTACCTACAACAAAATATGTACATTCAATAATAACAGAAATCCTTACTTCCTTACTCCCTTACTTATATTATAAATCGGAAAGTGAGTTTGTTTGTTTGTTTGTTTGTTTGTTCCGCCTTCATGCCGTAACTACTTGACCGATTGCTTTGAAATTTTGCAGACGTTAAGTTAGAAGTCTGGATTACATAATAGGGTACTTTTTATCACGGAAAAATTTGATATTTCCTAAGAAAAACAAATATATTGGTATAGATGGCGCTGTATGTACGTATAGATGGCGTTGTATGTCATTTAAAACCAGTCAACGAATTACTTACTTATTGGAAAAATCTAAATAGCGCGATATAACCGAATTCCACGCGAGCGGAAAGCTATTTGTTTGTTTGCCTGTCTTAAACGACAGAACGGAGGTACTAATTAACGTGATTTTTTAACTGAAGGTAGTTGAACGGATGGATAGTCACATAGGCTTCTTTTAACCCTTTATGACGTGAGCGAAGCCGCGGGTAAAAGCTAGTTAGATATAAAAAAACAAGATATAATAATAATATTTGAGTGCACGGTTGGTGCGACAGCTGGGCCACGGGCAACCGGCTGCCGTGCAACGTGTCGCGTTACGCATCGCAACAACACTTTGTGTGCTCTACAAAATGTTGTTTCGGGTCTGGGTGTATGTGTATGTGCACTTGTATGTTTGTAAACGCACCCACGACACAGGAGAAAATTCAACGTGGGGCAACGTTAAAAAAAAATTAAAGTTCGCGTGCCCGTATCAAAAGGGCCTCCACCTCAGCATACAGTTGAGTGTTCCTGCCCAACGCTGGTTTTCAAGTGGCACCCAGCAGTGACTCACTGATGGCGGTACCGCCGTCCTGTGCCGAGGAATGGAGAGCTGCTGAGCACATCGCCTACCGTCACGCTCCCGGTGACTGTTAACCTATGCAAGCCAGAGTACAGGTATGGAGGGCACTTGTGTTTTATTATGTAATATAAGACAGGCGAGGTGGAGCATACGACGAGATTTCATTTTTAAAACATTATGTTTGTTTAAGAAATGAAATGAAATTGCATTGAAATTGAGATTGGTTTCAAGAGTAAGCACTCAGAACTGAACAGATCATGAACACGAACGGACCAAATCAAATAACGTCACCGCTCGAAGGTCGCTGCATGCTGCCTGGTCACGGTGACTGGCAGCCGCAGCATTACTTGGCGCGATTCAGGCTCAAAGTGCGACCGCTATACATACTACGTTACACTACAGACATCGCTCGCTCCGTCACACTTGTACCGTTCTTTCAACCTATTATGGCATTTTCTGTAACGTAATTAAATTTCAACAGTACCTACCTAGATTACATTTATTGTATTAACAGTACTAGCTGTTGGTTTTTCTGATATTACCTATAAATTACATTCGTTACAGAGAACTACTTTGCTTTGCAGTCTCGCATAATTATTGCTTTATTCAAATGTAAATGTACGGTTGGCGCAGTGGCTGGGCAACTGGCTGCCGTGCAACGTGTCGTGGGTTCGATTCCCGCACGGAACAACTCTTTGTGTGATTCACAAATTGTTGTTTCGGGTCTGGGTGTCATGTGTACGTGAACTTGTATGTTTGTAAACGCACCCACGACACAGGATAAAATCCAACGTGAGGCAACGTTTTAAAAGAAAACAAAAAACAAAAAAAAATATTAATGGAAAAGGTTGGAGGAGGCCTTCGCCGACCGGCAAACAAATCTTTAGAAAAATTGTAATAAGTATTTATTTGAAGTGAAGTCAATAAGTTTTAATTATTTAGTAGGTAGTTTTAAGTTAGATCCGAATAATAATACGGGCATTAGCGATCCCGCGGGCTACCATCATCCCGAGTGCTCCAGGGAGAAGTCACCGTTCCTTCTTCTCTGGCTTGCCTTAATTGGCTGGCTGGAGTGAACGATGACAAGGAACAGGTCTCCCACCTCTGGGTTGCCTTCATTGGCCGTCCAGAGTGGAGTCGCGAGAGCAGTGAACCTGCTCGGAGGGTAAGAAACTATTCGTAAGTCGCGAGTGGGCCAGGGATGCAGGAGGCTTCGGCTGGAGCAGATGATCTGAGTAGAAAGCGGTGGTAGTTTCTTAACCTTTCAGCCACTCACATTCTCGTTGCCCCTCTGTTGCTATATCTAGCAACCATTCCCGGGGCCCGGTTGGTGAGTTGGCGAGTCTCCGCCTGCCATTTTTACGTGTAAAAATTACATTGTTTCGGCAGGTGCCATAGTCATCCATAGTTCCCAATTTACCAATCCACAGCAACCCATCCATAGCCCTACCTTTTTTTTTCCATTATTCACAATAGTCCTACACTAACCGGGGACTGTCCTTTGGTGCATTTCCATAGTGCATACAGGGATAGTCGCCGGTTTGTGTGTCCATTACATTTAGATTAAAGTTGTCTAAAGGGCCTCTGCGCAGTTGGCTTCGGCCCCTCGTACGCCTCCCAAATGACCGGGACCCTGTGGTCCCGTGAATGGTAAAGACATAATAATAAACGTTTATTAGCGCTTCATAGAATTAAGGGTTATTTTATTTTAATCTCGTGAATAGAAACGAAACCACACGGGCGGGCACGCAGATTAAGGTTATTACTCAGTGGCGCGCAATCCTTGCCCTGGTAAGTATAAGTGATGCAAGCCGCACTCAGATTGCGCGTACCAATACCAACCACTGATTCACGTTCCAAAGGGCAAATATATCAACTAATTATTTGCTCGGTCATTGTTATTACGTGATTTCGCGGTTTATTTTAGTCAAAGGAATAATAATTATATTTAGTGATTAGATAAAAAGGATAAAGATAAAGTACTTACTCAATGGAATATCGGCCAGCAATCTGTCTATGGAGTCATATGATTATTCTGATTTGTTTACTTTGGACCCAGTGGGTAGCGCCCGGTGCCCTGTACTCGAGCACCTACTTGCCTACCTACGTGATGAAAACAGCAAGTTGTTGCAATAACATAATTATTGTCGTAAACAAGCATGAGCTTTTTTTTAAGGGAGAAAATTCATTGAATGACTTCTCCCGCCCGGGTGAGGCGGGAGGGAGTGTCAGACTCTTACTGACTAAAAACCATCCCGTTCCTTCTCCTGCACGTCGAGCCGGAGCCCCGGTTACCCGTTAGGTTCTCCGCGACGCGCCTTGGGGTTATAGTTAAGTTTAGTACTGTCGTACAGTGATTCTACTATGCATGAGGGATTAGCTTTACAGATATGTTGCAAGAGATGAAAAACAATTGATAGAATTACACAAATACTTACAACTGCAATAATTATATAAGAGACTATTTACATTTATTATTTATTAAATAAATAAATAAATAATAATTAGTACAACAACCTGAACTACCTCCTAAAGACGCCGAGGCTAGACGAATAAAAGTACGTACTGTTAGGGTGCGTACATCTGGCGAATGCGCCGTGAATGTGCCGCTCGCGAGCCGTTTGCTCTAAAATAGCATGGTAAAAGGCGTTCTATTGAGTATGTTCTAAATTAATTAATAAATAAAATAGATATTAAAATGCTAATTTTGAGCAACATTCCGACACACATATTGCTAAGTGACAAGTGCTAAATTAAAGCATGCTGTCGTGCTTGAAATTAGGATGTGTATCAGTACCTACGTTACTATACATCGAGGGCCAATCGACATCTTTAATGGTCAGACGGCGATACGAGGTCCGATACAAAAATCAGGTCTTTTTGTCACGACACCGTGAGGTGGAAACCACTTTATACTAGATTATTATTTTATTGTTAATTACCATCTAACTATAGTGACAATACATAGGTATTATTGCATGATTGATGATAAGCGAATCGCAAGATAACGCTGAGTAACGAGTGATATAAGCACAGGTCGGCGGTAGTGCGGCACACACTGCTCAGTGCTCCACTCACTCGTCGGCCGCTACTCCGCAGTCCGCCGCCTCGCACTCAACATGATCACACTCGCCATCGCGCTCGTCGCGCTCGTCGCACTCTACCTGTACGGCACGCGCAACTTCTCTTACTGGCAGAAGAAAGGAGTCAAACATGACAAACCAATTGCTTTCTTCGGGAACAACGTAGCATCCTACCTCATGAAGAAAAGTATTACACAGATGGCTGTCGATGCGTACTGGAAATATCCAAAGGAGAAGGTAGTAGGATTTTATCGATCTACGTCTCCAGAGCTCGTGATTCGTGATCCAGAGATAGTAAAACGCATACTTATAACCGACTTCCAATACTTCTATCCTCGAGGCTTGAACGTGCACAAGACAGCTATTGAGCCTTTGATGCGGAACTTATTTTTCGCGGACGGCGACCTTTGGCGTATGTTGCGGCAGCGCATTACCCCTGCATTCACAAGTGGCAAGCTGAAGGCGATGTTCCCACTGATCGTGGAGAGGGCTGAGAAGCTGCAGGCGCGCGCTCTCTCTGCCGCCACCGCCAACCGCGAGATGGACGCACGCGACCTGATGGCGCGGTACACTACGGACTTTATTGGCGCATGCGGTTTTGGTCTTGATGCTGATTCGCTCAATGAAGAAGATTCCGCCTTCAGAAAATTAGGAGTATCCATATTCGATTTTAAACCAAAAGATGTTTTTGTAGCCATGCTTAAAGAAATGTTCCCGGAAGCGTGTAAGAATTTAAAATATTTAGAAAGATTGGAAAAGCCGATGTTTGAATTGGTTACAGCAATACTAAAACAGAGGAATTACGAGCCAGTGGGGAGGAATGATTTTATTGATTTGTTGCTTGAATGCAAAAAGAAAGGAAAAATGGTAGTGGAATCTGTAGAAAAAGTGAATCCCGATGGCACTGCGGAGACAGTTTCCATGGAGTTGACGGATGAACTTATTGCGGCGCAGGTGTTTGTATTCTTTGCAGCTGGTTTTGAGACGTCTTCCTCAGCGACCAGTTACACACTGCATCAGCTGGCGTACCACCCGGAAGTACAGAAGAAGGTGCAGGACGAGATAGACAGAGTGTTAGCGAAACACAACAATAAGCTCAGCTACGACGCTATCAAAGAGATGACGTACTTGGAGTGCGCCTTTAAAGAAGGCATGAGAATGTTCCCATCCCTTGGGTTTTTGATGCGTCAATCCGCGCACAAATACACTATTCCAGAGTTGGACCTCACGATAGATCCAGGCGTAAATGTGGTAATTCCCCTGCAAGCCCTGCACAACGACCCGCAGTACTTCGAGGAGCCGCACGTGTTCCGTCCTGAACGCTTCCTGCCCGACCAGGTGGACGAGAAAACCAAGTTCGTGTATCTTCCCTTCGGCGACGGTCCTCGGGCTTGCATAGGTGAGAATTGTTTTTTAAATCATGTGTTTTATTATTTATCTTCATATGACATGGATTGTTGCCGTTATATTTTAAGTAGGTATGTCTACAACCCACTATAACAATATAAAAATGTATACATTGACCATTTCATACAGCTTTCAAAATAAGAAAGTTGTTGGGATGATATTGGAGTTGAACATAATATTGTATGTGTTTGTGTAGTGTCTAGGTATTCATGTGGTCTTATGTTGCAGGGCTTCGACTGGGTCTCATGCAGTCGCTGGCGGGGCTGGCGGCACTGCTGTCCCGCTTCACGGTGGCGCCGGGTCCCTCCACGCTCCGCTATCCGGTAGTAGAACCCAAGTCCGGCATCGTACAGAGCATCAAACACGGCCTGCCGCTTTCCTTCACGGTGAGGAACCCGGAATCGGTGGCGACGACATTGTGATTGTACTCCCCGCTCCCCGGATAGTGGCAGTGATGGACAATGTGTCAGATAGGGTGATATTGTATAAACCTTTATTTATAGTGACTGTAAAAGTGTTTTTTGTAACCTAATAGATGGTGTGTTTCTCTATGAATGACTTAATTTTAGGACGTTTGGTTGGACATAAATGTTGTAAAATAATAATGTGATAATTGTATATACATGATTTAAATAAATTATTATCCTCATATACAGAAGTGGATATTTTCCTTGTTTCATATTTTAATGCTACAATAATTGTAATTGAACACACGGTTATTGACAAAGCTAGTACAATTTAAACATTTTATATTTCACACTCCTCTCGCTCGCCTTTAAATGGAAGCTGTTTCTTAATGTTCATAATAATCTTAATTGCTACATTTTTTTTATTTTTCTTTTATGCAAATCTTGTACCTTGACTAATAATTATACAATGTGTATTAGAAACAAATGTACTTATACATGTATAAAAAAAAAACTTTAAAATTGAAGTCTCTTTGCGGATGTTTATTGTATTTATTGAATAAGACTTCATTATAAATATTATTAAACAAAACCGTTCAATAATTAGCAGCGTTTAATGTACATTACACGACAGTGGCTTGTTGTGTAAGAAACTTTAATAAAAACTAAATATAGACAATACAGATTGAGAGTATTTACAAATATCGAGTCGCGGCCAAAGTACATGTTTACACCAAATTGTACAGAACAAGGTACAGTTTGCTATTTAGGCATTCCTCATATCTCTTATCTTTGTAATTATGATAACAATATCAAACAGCATGATAATCTCCGACTATTATGTAAAGATAACACATTCAGAGAATAATGTAAAAAAAAACAAGATACGTAACATTTACTGACACATTTTCCGACTAGGTTCCTACAAAGACGCGCACTGCGCGCTGCAGTCTGCGGTGTACTGCCGGCTGCTAGTGACCACACAGTTTCAGCTGGTAGTACCCGCACTGGCGTGTCATTACATCTTATACAATGTCTCTGGAAGTATGCCGATACTTAAGTCATTCATTACCAGACATAGTCAGTTTCATTACAAATGTACTTGGCAGGCGGAGTTGAGTTTGGTGTGGCCCTGATTCTACCAAAACAGACAGGAGAGGAGACGAGAGGAGATGTGGTTGAGTAAACCAATCCGATTTCATTATTTCCACATCTCTACTCCATTAAGCTTTTGTGGAACTGGCCTCTTCTCACCGCTTTAGTGGAAACTGATGCGTGGCCCCGTAGCAAATACTCTTGCTTCCTGTCCAGCTGTTGTTAATATTTCTTCTTATCTCTTTTAGTTATTGTTCTTGTACTCTCTCTAGCTATTTGCTTAGTGCGACCGTTGTCTGGTGTCACCATATTCAGTTCAGTCACAGAATGGATAACACAGTAGTAACGTAGGCAAGGCACGCGGTGTCGCACCACGTGTTACAGTTGCAATGTATTAACATCATGGCGCGGCGCTGGCGCGGGTGCTCACTCGCCGCGTTCCAAAGGTTAATAATCCGTTTGTTTACAATAATATACTATCGTATCGTGCAACATTATCAACGGTGGCTTATCAAATAATCAGTTACATGTTGTAATATTGGTGAATAGGTACCTGTAACATCTATATCTATATATAATTCAAAGGTGACTGACTGACATAATGATCTATCAACGCACAGCCTAAACAACTGGATGGATCGGGCTGAAATTTGGCATGCAGGTAGGCATCCGCTAAGAAAGGATTTTGATCATTTCTACCCCCAAGGAGGTAAAATAGGGGATGAAAGTTTGTATGGACCTTTGTCAGTTTTACACCGATCGGGTTGTAATTCGACATGCAGGTAGATGTTATGACGTAAGTATCCCAATTAGAAAGGGGTTTGAATATTTCTACCCTTGGGGGTACCCTTGGAGGTAAATAGGGGATGAAAGTTTCTATGCGACTTTGTCAGTTTTAATCTGAATGGGTTGAAATTCGGTATGCAGGTAGATGTTATGACGCAGGCATCCTCTAAGAATAGAATTTGATCATTCTACCCCCAAAGGGACCAAATAGGGGATGAAAGTTTGGGTAAATCTTTTAGCCATTGAATCTATTAATTTATTTTTTTGAGGGGTGAAAATCATCATCAATGACTTCTCCCGCTCGGGTGAGGCGGGAGGGAGTGTTAGACTCTTACTGACTAAAAGCCACCCCGTTCCTTCTCCTGCACGTCGAGCCGGAGCCCCGGTTACCCGTTAAGTCTTCCGCGACTCCGTATGAATCTATTAAATCTAGAATAATTGAATCTTTTTGAGTTACATTCGGAAAACGTTAATTTAAGACCTGGAACATGATGTATGCATGATAGTTTTTACTACCACAGAAGTCCCACGAGAACGGAAATAATGCGTTAAAGCCCCGGGACTCTATTTCTTAATCACTGAACTTATTTTAGAGAGATTCGATACAACAATAGTCGATAGAATAGTTTTTATCACTAACATCTTACGGGAACGGGCGCTCTACTGGTAAAATCTCTGTGGAATATTCTATTTATTTTTCTATTTATTTTTTGAATCCACGATAAATTCAATTTACAATAAATCTTACATAGGCACTGAATCGATTCTGATGAATTCTGTCAAAAGTCATTATTCTACGCGGACGAAGTCGCGGGCGACAGCTAGTGCATGGGACGACGAACGCTTGCCTCCAAGAGAAAGCTTTCTTGTGAGCAGCTGTATATAGGTACCTATTCCCTTCTTCGTATCTTTACAAGAATATTTTATTGTTTCTATCTCCTTCTTACTGTCTATTGGGTCCTCCCCTTGCGATGTGGAAGTGATCGTGTCTGGTGGTCTACTGACTCATGACTGCACACAGGGAATTCTTATATGTATAAAGTTCTACTTCAAGTTCTGCTTCAAGTAGCGCAATATAAGTTTTGACGAAGTATATTTGATAGTTGTTGACGATCGCGCCACCTATTGGTATCCGTTTTAAATGATTTGTTATAGGTATTGTTTTAATATGGCGATAGGTGTCACTACTTACCTCTTAAGATTAAAACCATTTCTTTACCGTCGTGCTTTTTTTTGAATTTGTTTTTGAAAAAAATTCGATGATCCTTTAACGAAAGGGATTGAATGGAAAAGGTTCGTATATAAATGTACTCCTTTACAAGCTTTTATAACCTTGCAATGTATGTACATACATATTATGTTTGTGTATAAAATGGAATCTTGCAACTAAATGTAGCAAATTATATTCAACTTATTGAGCTGAATGCTAATAATGCTAAGTTTCATAAAACTTGTTTTCAACTGTTAATTGAAATTAATTTATTATGCACCAGGTCAGTTCCAAATTAGACTGTTCAAAAATCTAATAATTTAATTTTGACACTTGTATCGTTGCATTATTTTTGCAAGCTTGCTTTTTTGCGACAAGCACTAAAACCACTCAATGAAATGGTCAAGCAAGCGTAATCTGTCAAGAAACATATCATCATCCCACCCAGGTGCTCTCAATACTGAAATGTATGTCATGTACACAAAGCACCGCTAATTAGTTGCAGCGCTACACATCGACACAACTGTCATTTACACAGTGTACATGTGTGCGTAATTTCATATAACTGTATATAAAAATATTCGTCCACCACGTTCACATTGGTATTTTCATTCTTGTGTCGGTATACGTATTTTTATAATTTAATGCATAGGTAAGGTTAAAACTATTTACAATCATTGATATGACCCGACATTTTCACTGTCATTATCGTAGTGCTCGTGGTCGATTGGTTAATGAGCACGCTTTTATCGTCTTTCAAGGATCAATGATGTGGGTTCTATTCCAGCTAAAAGTTAACTTTATTTTACCTTGTTATTTTTCTTATTTTTTTTTTGTTTTTTGTCATAAAATATAAATATCAGGCTATAAAAGAAGCAAATGAGTTGGTAAATAAAACAATACTATTTTTTATTACAATTAATTTATTTATTATACAAATATGTTGTTTTATATTCAATATTTATATCTAATAATTAATTATATACCACATGTTAAGTTTAAAGTTCTTTAAATCATAATTAATAGATATGACAATAAACCTCATAGTCGAATCGGGAAATATCATGCGGTACAGCGGTAATACGATGGCAGCAACATTTTTTATTAAGTAGGTAATAAACAAATATACAACATTCTTGTTTTGTAATTTAATAATATAATGTATTATTAAATTACAGTTTTACAGTAATAAACAAGTAAAACATGTAAAAAATTACACTGTCAACATAATATTTCTTGAAATGGGCGACTTTTTGTCGTTTGAACTTCCATTAATTATCTATTTTACGACGGTTGTTATAAGGTTCAATATTCAGTGGGCTGTATGATAGTAAAAAGAATGTGACGAATGCTATGGAACGATTTTAACTTTCATGACCTTTAGAATCAGGGAAACTTTAAATTAATTGAAGATGGGCGTAAATATAATATGTCAATCAAGTTCGAAAGCAGTTAAATAAATTTGTTAATGAAAAATTAAAGTGAAGTGAATAAACATGTTGAATAGAAAGAAATTATGACAATTTCTAACCACAAAACAATAACATCACTTCACCGTATGTTCTAGACAGCATTTTAATATTCTTAAAAAAATTAAACATTATTTTATGTTAATTTTAATAAAGGCAGAGTTTGACAGGCTCAATAATTGATTCCGAAATCAATACAATCACTGATCCTACAAGGCAGAAGGTTGCAATTCGTATACCTTTCTCCATCTTTTCTTCACAATATTTTACGCCCATCCTTATCCGACTTGAAAGTCTTTTCGTCGCTCAATATGATTACACTGTTCGCCCAATCAAATTAATAAAGTCCTAGCAAATTCTTAGCGCTTTTGCTGGTGAACCACAGATAACAATATTTTCTTCTCTGGCTTCCTGCACCTTAAACCAGAATGCAGGTGTCTCCGTACAGTTTGTAT